TTAACTACGAACAATCATGCTTAAGCTACATAATCTTTACTCCTTGGAATGGAGATAAGAAACGCCCTAACCTTTGTAATAGAGATTGATAGGATTGAATCAACTGGTATAAATACAGATGTAACAAGACAGCAAGACACAGAACTTAGAACACAGAACTTAGAATACGGAACCAAGAGAGACAGAACCTAGGCACAGAACCTACACAGGACGTTCTCTAGAGACAGAAGAACTTCGCTGGAGAGAACATGGCAAAAGATCCTGGACAGAAACTGGCCTCAGAACCTAGAGACAGAACCTAGCGAGAGAACATGGCAAAAGATCCTGGACTGAACCTGACTACAGAAATTGGCAAGAGAACCTGACTAGAACCTGGTGACTGAACCTGGCTGGAGAACCTGGACAGACCTGGCTGAAGAACCTAGCGAGGGAACATGGCTACAGAACCTGGCTGGAGAACCTGAAGAACCTAGCAAGAGAACATGGACACAGAACCTGGCTGGAGATCTGAGGCAGAACCTCTCTGGAGATCCAGACCAGAACTTGGCTGGAGATCCTGGCTGGAGATCCTGGCTAGGCTGCTGATCAACTGAACGCTGTCTCCGTGTCATTCCTTCTTTGCTGACTCCGTCCACACCTTTGGGGACCCCTGGACCTGCTGGGGTTGGACCCCGGCATCGTTCGACTCCCAAAGGGGTCGTGACCCACACGTTGAGAACTGCTGCATTAGAAGAAATAATGACAGAAAATTTCCCTGATGTTGGGACGGAAAAAAAAATCACACAAGTCCAAGAAGCACACAGAGTCCCAAACAAGATGAGCCCCAAAAGACCAACACCAAGCACATCATAATTAAATTGGCAAACATCAATGACAAAGAATCTTAAAGGCTGCCAGAGAGAGACAGATAGTTATCTACAAGGGATCTCCCATTAGACTATCAACTGATTTCTCAACAGAAATACACCAGGCCAGAAGGGAATGGAATGAAATATACAAAATCATGCAAAGCAAGGGACTGAATCCAAGAATACTATACCCAGCAAGGCTATCATTCAAAACTGAAGGTGAAATCAGGAGCTTCACAGCCAAAAAAAAAGGCTAAGGGAGTTAATTACCACCAAGTCAGCAATGCAAGAAATACTAAAGGGGCTGCTGTAAAAAGAAAAAATAGAAAGGGAAGAAGGAACATAGTCACAAAGAATAAAAATGGCAACAAACAAGTACCTATCAATAATTACCTTAAACGTAAATAGATTAAATGCTCCAATCAAAAGACACAGGGTAGCTGAAGGTAGGCCACTTCATAATACTGAAGGGAGCAATCCAACAAGAAGATATAACTCTGGTAAACATATATGCAGGAGCACCCAAATACATTTAAAAAAATTCTGGAAGATATCAAGGGAGAGATTGACAGCAATATAATCATAGTAGGGTACTTTAGTACCCCACTAACGCCACTGGGTAAATCCTCTAAACAAAAAATCAGCAAAGAAACAGCAATCCTAAATAATTCACTAGATTAGATGGAATTAATTGACATCTTCAGAACATTTCACCCCAAAGCTACAGAATATACAGTCTTCTCAAGTGCACATGGGACACTTTCAAAGATAGACCACATATTGGGACATAGGCAAAGTCTCTTTAAATTCAAGAAGACAGAAATCATATCAAGCATCTTCTCAGATCACAGTGTTATGCATAAAATTAGAAATCAACTACAATAAAAACAATGTAAAAAAATCAAACACTTGGAGGCTAAATAGCATGCTATTAAACAATGATTGGGTTACCAAAGAACTCAAAGAAAAAATAAAAAGTATTCTGGAAACAAAAGACAATGAAAACACAATAATCCAAAATCTATGGGACACAGTGAAAGCAGTCCTGAGAGGGAAGTTCATAGCTCTACAGGCCTACCTCAAAAAAGAAAAGAAAAAAAAGAAAAGAAAAGAGAAGAGAAGAGAAGAGAAGAGAAGAGAAGAGAAGAGAAGAGAAGAGAAGAGAAGAGAAGAGAAGAGAAGAGAAAAGAAAAGGAACAAAAGAAAAGGAAAGAAAGGAAAAAAAAGAAAAGAAAAATGGTGATAAATTATCTAATCCTACAACTTAAAGAATTAGAAAGAGAGCAACAAGAAAAGCCTCGAGTAAACGGAAGGAAATAATAAAGATCAGAGTGAAAATAAATGACATAGAGACAAAAAAAAAAAATACAAAAAAGTAATAAAGAGTTGGTTCTTTGAACAGATAAACAAGATTGGTGAACCTCTAGCCAGGCTCACCGAGAAACAAAGAGGACCCAATAAGCCAGTGGTTCTAAACCTTCTGGCCCTTTAAATATAGTCCCTCATGTTGTGACCCAACCATAAAATTATTTTCGTTGCTACTTCATAACTGTCATGTTGCTACTGTTATGAATCGTAATGTAAATATCTGATATGCAGGATGGTCTTAGGCGACCCCTGTGAAAGGGTCGTTTGACTGCCAAAGGGGTCGCGACCCACAGGTTGAGAACCGCTGCAATAAACAAAATCAGAAATGAAAGAGGTGACGTTAACAACTGACCCCACACACAGAAGGCCGAGAGACATATGAAAACATACTCAAAGTCACTAATCATCCGAGAGATGCAAATCAAAACAACAATGAGGTACCATCTCATACCTGTCAGAATGGCTATCATCAACAAATCAACAAACAACAAGTGCTGGAGAGGATGTGGAGAAAAAGGAACCCTCATGCACTGCTGATGAGAATGCAGACTGGTGCAGCCATTGTGGAAAACAGTATGGAGATTCCTCAAAAAATGGAACTCCCATTCAACCCAGTAATCCGACTTCTGGAAATATATCCCAAGAAATCAGAAACACCAACCAGAAAGGAAATATGCACCCCTATGTTCATAGAAGCACAATTTACAACAGCTAAGATTTGGAAACAGCCTAAGTGCCCATCAGCAGATGAGTGGATTAGAAAACTGTGGTACATCTACACAAAGGAATACTACACTGCTGTAAAAAAGAAGGAACTCTTACTATTTACAACAGCATGGATGGACCTGGAGAGCATTATGCTAAGCGAAATAAGCCAGACAGAGAAACACAAATATCACATGATCTCACTCATTTGTGGAATATAATGAAGAACATAAACCAATGAACAAAATTAGGTCCAGAGAACATAGAAGCATCGGCCAGACCATTCAACCTCAGAGGAAAGGCTGGGGGGGGGGGGGGGGGGGGAGACATGGTAATAGATCAACCAAAGGACTTGTATGCATGCATATAAGCTTAACCCATGGATACAGACAGTAGGGGGATGAGGGCATGTGCTGAGGGGTGGGAATGCCTGGGGAGAGGTCAATGGGGGGAAAAAGGAGACATATGTAATACTCTAAACAATAATTAAAAAAAAAACTTCCAAAGAAAATACAGTGGGGCCTTGACTTACGAGTGTCCCAACTAACGAGTTTTTTGAGATACCAACTGTCTCTTGGCTGATTTTTTGCATTGAGTTGATAGAGTAATTTGAGTTAACGAGCTCCTTAACGAGCTTGGTCTCGGAACGAATTAAACTCGTAAGTCAAGGCCCCACTGTATTGTAAATCAACTCCTATACACACATGCTAACGGTAGCAGAGGAATATGTCAGAGTCTGCCTGAGAAGATCCTAGGGCCAGGCCCTGTCCTGTGGGCACCACCAGCACCCCTGGGAGATGATGACACTTAAGAGGGCACCGATTCTCCAACCACTGGTTAAAAACAGGTCGGGAAACCACTTTTAGACCTACGGTTAAAACGACAATGAATTCTAAGGTGAAAGGCTGTGCTGGAAATAACCTCTACCTTAATAATGAAGATTTATTGGTCAGTTTTTCAAATAATGTCAGGAGCTAGATAGGAGCTTAGCAGCCATAGGCCAGTACTCTTACTATATAAGCCGAGAAGCAACAAGCCCGAGCTGGGGGAGCTGATGCTAGGGGCACATCCCCCAGGCTGGCACATCCTCCTAGCCCCTGTCTTGGCCTCCACCTCCCATTCTCAGAAGACCCGTCACCACTAGAAGCATGTTATAGCTATCACAATGCTGGCGCAGAATGAGGCTTGTTGGAAGGAAGGCGAGTCAGCGTCTCATTAAGAAGCTGAGCTCGCCCTAACTGGTTTGGCTCAGTGGATAGAGCGTCGGCCTGCGGACTGAAGGGTCCTGGGTTTGATTCCGGGCAAGGGCATGTACCTTGGTTGTGGGCACATCCCCAGTAGGGGGTGTGCAGGAGACAGCTGATCAATGTTTCTAACTCTCTATCCCTCTCCCTTCCTCTCTGTAAAAAATCAGTAAGATATATTTTTAAAAAAAGAAAAAGAAGCTGAGCTCACTGTCTCCCCTTTCCCAGCTCTCCAGTGCTGGCTGCCTTGGTCCCACCCACCTGGTCCCTGATAAAACTAAGCCTTGCGTGCGGCCACTACTCAACTGGTAAGTGAAGGTAAAAAAGAGTTCCATTTTATCAGATTTCCAAAGTTTTTATGTTGTGCTTTATCTTCAGAATTCCCCAAAACTACTACGCAGAGGCACCAGTTTCTGTACTAAACACTTCTGAAAAAGAACGCGCCAGATTCCTCTGAGGGAAACTGCGTGGCAGGGAGGGAAGGCGCTGGGCGGGCGGGAGCTCCCTGCCAGGCCCCGCACAGGCGCGCGCACTGAGTCCCCTCACAGCTGCCTGGAACATTTAAAAAACACTTTGAAAATATGTATTCATTATTGTACAGAGTCAAGGCTCCACTCCAGACCTTCAGAGTCGAAAATGATGAAAGAGAAGAAGGAAGTGCTAGGTCAGAGAGGAGACGACAAGCCCTGTGCACAGCAAACGTCACCGACGACTGGACACTGGGTGGCACCACCCCACAGCCTTCTTGGGCTTGGTTCCTAAACAGGAGGGATCCTGTGCTGTCCATGCATTGCCTCTTGGAAGTCTGTCACCAAAACACAAAACACACACTCACCATCGTCTTCACTCCTCTCCCCCGTCATCTCCACGGACTCAGACAGCGAGGCCAGGGAGGTTCGTCGGGAAGAAGCTGCCGAGGTGGCGCTGGCGGGCTTGCTCCCCGGCAGCCGGCTCACCCAGTGCTCGCACAGGGAGGAGCTCGTGGAGCCTGCGGAGAAGGGAGGGCACCGAGGTCAGCCAGGGCCCGGGCCTGCACAGCACACGTGACCTGAGCACTGCAGGTGGGCACGAGCTGCCAGATCCCAGTGTGCCTCCCAACAGCCCCTGCCAAGACGAAAGGCCGGAGAGCAGGCTCCGCGTGTCTGCAGTGATAACATGAGGACAGGATGCACCATTTACAATGCACATCCAAGTCATAAGGGCTGGCAATAGAACAGGCTATAGACAATCGCTCACGATCATTCCTTCTACACACTCTGACACACAGGAAGGAGAGGGAGCAGCTGTGCTTTTATTTCTTCCACCTCACTGTTTGTTGACTTTTAAAATCATTTTCACAATATTAATATACAAACACAAAAGCACAGAGCTCGATGTCGATCTGTCCTGTGTCTGAGGAAAGCCCTTAAATACATGAGAGCAACAGCAACTGCTCTTAACACATTTCGTACCGCCCAGGAGTTTTCTCGTATTTCGCGCGCCATCCGGTAAGGACCGCTCACGAGTGTTCTCGTTTTTCACGCCCATGGAAAAGGAGCGAATCTAGATACTTATGTAAATTTTGTTTGGTCCCTCTTCATAGAGGAAAATGTTTTACGCAGTACCATACGTTAAAAAAGTACTAGGAACTTTAATTGTTTGTTTTTGTAAATAAAAATGTTATAATTATTGAAAAACACCTAAAGTGCATTATGATTTAAATAACGTGCAGTTTGCCCAAAAACGGGCGGTCGCTGGAGTATGTCTTAGAGATTTCTATGCGGTACGCAATGTGTTGAGAACATGAAGCAGCATGAGGGTCTCGAGGAGCCCCCACGAGGGTGTCATTTCTGAGCACACCCCAGGCTCTAGAAGCACCGAGGACAGGCCTCAGCACTGGGAGCCCCCCTTCTGTTAACGAGTGAGTGGCAGACAGAGGGGTACACTGGGGGGCGGGGTCTGACTCCAGCAGGGGCCACTGCTCCAGGGAGGCCTCCTTTTAGCAGCTTCTAACTTAGCCCTTGCCAGTCTCAGGGGGAGCAGGGGTCAACAACCCCCAACCTGACCGCATTCCACACCCCAGTCCCGGCTTACTCTCTTAAACTCAAACCCTGCCCTAAGCAGCACCCGCCCCCTGTTTAGATTGTGGGCATTCATTAAAACAAACGGCTAGACCCATCACACTCAACCCAAGCACCTATACTATTGCCTTAGCCTTCAATTCTTCCCCAACAGAACAGGCCAACCTTACTGGGGGGAGGGGCTGTTTCTAACAGCGTTTAACCCTTTACAAAAGGCTTTAAGGTGGAGCTGCATAACCTGATGCATCCAAGGACCCCAAGAGGCACGCAGTGTTATTGCACCAGGATCAGAGGATCAGTATGTGCCTGGGACAGGACGTGCCCCGAGGTAACCCAACCAACATGTGGCAAAGCCAAGTCCCCGTCCTCCTTCCAAACCTCTCGTTCCCTCTGCTTCCAGAGTGCATGCCATGCTGCTCATTGCTCATTTACCCCACGAGGGACCCTCCCCAGCCCTCTGCTGGTTCACAGCTGCTTGCACACGCCACCTCCATTTCCTTAACTGCAATCATTTTGGTTTCAAGATTAAATGCAAATGTGAGGATTGAGAGAGGCATGACACCTTCTGGGAATTTCTCTGGACATTAACGACAATCTTCTGTTCTGGGAAAAACTGCCCAAGAATAGGGTTGGCCTTACCTGCCACCGAGCTGTTGGCCGACCATGACGGTATTGCTGTCCTCCGCTGATAGAAGAGGATGTAGGCCGTCTGTGTGCAGACCTCATCTTCCGACAGCTGCTGCACGTCACTGTCATCAAAGCAGTACCAGAGCCCGTCCACGGAGTTCTTACAGTAGGCTGCCAAAGAGAGCCCCGTCAGCACCCGCTGCACCGGCTGGGCCACTACCCACCGAGACCGTTTCTTTGGCTCATATAATTAACTCAAGACCTTTTAAAGGCTGCATGCAATAACAGAGAAAGAGGTGAAAAACCCAAATTCCATATCACACTCAGGCCAAGTGTTTCAAAAAATTCCAGAGATAAAGTTCTTTTTAATCTTAGGAAACAAAATATGCTTATTTATTTAAACCAGTGGGTCTCAACCAGGGACAGTTCTACCCCAGGAGACATGTGGAAAGTCTGAAGGCATTCTGATTGTCCCAGCCTGGGGAAGGTGCTCCTGGCCTCCGTGGGAGGCAGGGGCGCTCACAGCACGGAAATGTCCGGCCAAACTGTCAGCAGTGCCAGGGGTGAGACCCTGAGGTAAGCATGCTGTGACAGCTGGTGTTTATCAGAGACAGAAGATAACAGAACCAGAAGTACTGTATTAGTCATAACAGCAGCTAACACTTGCTTAGAACTGACTATGTGCCACACATGCACTTAACCTATGAGACCTGCTCTACAACGATTCCCATTTGACAGAGGCTCAGAAAGATCAGCCAGCTTGCCCACGGTCATACCGCGGGTGAAGGGCAGGGCCCAGCTCATTTCAGAATTGTCTAGTCCCCTGTCCAACCCTGCTTCCATTGGGGGTAGCACAAACAATGTCCCAGGGAAGTCCCTTGGTAAACGGAGACCATTTGAGCTCATGGATGTATGCAGCCTTCTCTCCAGTTCTAATTCTAAGCCTGAGATAGAAATACAGAGCATTCAAGAGCCAGCAAGAATGGACAACTCAATGTTCCTGTCATCCTGGAAGGATATATCAAGGGTGTGACAAGCTTGATCCAGAGAAGTACATTCTTACCACACTTCCTACAATACCTATTTGTTGGGGTGGGAATGAAGGAGTGCTAGGATATGTAGCTGACCACTGGGACAGGCTCAGCATGGCCCCAGGGCGGGCACGCAAGCCCTGAGAGGAGGCAGTGGGGGCGACTTTCCCAAGCATGGCACCCTGAGTGATGAGGGCACCCGGTGAGAAGGGCTCCAGCAGACAGGTTCAGAAAGAGAGGACAGTAAGAATCTGTGCTTGTAGGAAGGGAAGTCATGTGCCGCTTGGACTCTGGAACCAGGTGGGAGAACAATGGAGCTATAAGCAGCGAACGGGGCCAGGGCAAGGGCAGTGGCCATGGCTGCTCTTCTGGAGTGGGGATGGGACTGCCAGGGGACTCCCGAGAGAAGGTGACAGAGAGACCTTGCACTGGCTTCCGTCTGTTTCCTTCAGATGGTCTGTCCCCAGCCACAGCATGAACACCAGGGAGCACAATACTCACTAATGAGTAAATGATGCATTTACAAAATACTTCTAGTTGCCTTCTTTCCAGCACTATTAGTGAAGTGTCCTCAGACCAGTGCTACTCAAAGTGTGGCTGGAAGACTGGTGCCAGTCCACAAGATAAACAGCAAAACTGAGAAGAGCACTGCAGAACTTTCATAGCAATCTGACACTGCCATATTTTAATTGTATTGTTGCAAAAGTATTGGTTTATGAAGGACTGGAAGTTTTTAAAAAGAAAAAAACAGGTTCTTCATCACAGATACTTTGAGAAGCACTGTTTCAGAATCCTTACACAGGTGAGCCATGCAGGCACCACGTAAGTCTAGCGAGATCCAGTGCAAAACAGGCATCACAGGAAGCATTCCCAATGGACACGTACATACGGGGTCCGTCCTCCGACTATGCTGAGGCACTTCACTTCGTGTTCTCTAATCCAAGGCTAACCATTTCACATACCAGACCAGCAGAGGTGTGGCCTCTGGGAAAGGGGAAAGGATGCAGAAAACATCCGAGCTCCTATTAAGATAAAAAAGTTCTGGACATGGATGAGGATGACGATTCCATAAAGACGTGCCACTGAACCGTACACTGAAGAAGGTTAAAATGGTAAGTGTTGTCATGTATCCTTCATCACAATTTTAAAAACTGTTATCAGGGGTTATTTTTGAGTGAGAAGCCCATGGATGATGGCACTGTTCTCTCTCCCTCTCTGTAGTGTCTAAATTTCATATGATGAACATAGATGCTTTAAAAATGAAAATGTAAATGTAGCCTTGATACAAAAAGAAAACCCTTCCAAGTCCCTTTAACGATACTAGAAAAGTGCTTCACAGTCACTCCAAACCAGGGAGGCGCGAGCTCACGCGAGTGAGTGAAACCATACGTGGGGAGTGCAGACACGGTGAGCCCAGCGAGTCCTCGGGGAGCGGAGCGTGCTGCCCATCTGCACACACCACTCCCCAGTCAACCAGACGCCACTGATGGGCCCGCTCAGGACAAGGAGGGGAATTCTGTCTGCTCTTGGACAAAGATCCGGAGGATGAAGACTGGCCTCACAGCTGGCACACTGGCTACTGAAGGGGCAGCGAGGCGCTAAGGCAGAGTGACCCTGTCACAAGCAGACACGCCTGAAGGAATCATCCGCACAGACACCCGGCCCCTCGCACTGCAGACCTGTGTAGTGCCCCCCTTGCATGGTGCCATGATGATTGCACACAGCATACAGGTCATAGACGTAGTCCTCAGGGTCCCTCCCGAGTCCATAAGGTCGTCGCCATGGAGACCAATGGGATGGCAAACTCCAGCTGCTCTGGCTTCTCTTAACCACATGAGGCGTCATGTCCAGGCCAGTCAAGGGGAACTTGACCATGTTCTGAAGTTTCACACGCCTGTCTCCTTCCTGTCACAAGAAGAAAGACAAGTCCTGATGATATTTCCCTGCAAATAGGTGGTGAATGGGTTCAACGTGGAACGTGGGCTCTAGCCGCTGAAGTGGCTTGAGTTACCTGTCTGATGTTCCCCCAAGACACACACAAATAGGGAAACAGACTAACTGTTTGAACTGTCTGGAGGAACAGGTTTTAAGATCACTAAACATGGAACCAGCAATGACCTACATATAAGGGGTAATGAGACTCCCTGAGTCTCCACTTCTTACCTGACAAAGGGCTTTTAGGTTTTTGACTCACCAACAATTTCAGGTGGTTCGTCCTGATACCTCTGTCACAAGGCATGAGAGTGATGGAGTAATAACGCGAGAAAGACGAAGCCGGTGCCTGGCACAGACAGCCACTCACTGAGCAGTGCTCCTTACTGACCCACCCCTCTAGCAGTAGCATGAAAAGTTAACACTGATTTAGCTTCATCTATTCATTTAGTTGACAATCCTGGGTAATCTGTCTTTTCCACACATTCATAGGGAAATCCTGTGAAATCCAACTGTCAGCTGAATATTCACTGAATGTTTCCTGTGTCTGTGGGAGCTTTAAAAAATTAATCAGGCCGTAACCGGTTTGGCTCAGTGGATAGCGCGTCGGCCTGCGGACTGAAAGGTCCCAGGTTCGATTCCAGTCAAGGGCATGTACCTTGGTTGCGGGCACATCCCCAGTAGGAGGTGTGCAGGAGGCAGCTGATCGATGTTTCTCTCTCATCGAGGTTCCTAACTCTCTAACCCTCTCCCTTCCTCTCTGTAAAAAAATCAGTAAAATATATTTTTTAAAAAAATTAATCTGGCCTGGCTGGCGTGGCTCAGTAGTTGAGTGTCGACCTATGAACCAGGAGGTCACAGCTCGATTCCCGGTCAGGACACATGCTGGGTTTGCGGGCTCGATGCCGAGTGGGTAATGTGCAGGAGGCAGCCGATCAATGATTCTCATCATTGATGTTTCTATCTCTCTAATCCTCTCTTAAATCAATAAAAACATATTAAACTTTATTTTAAAAAAAGATTAATCGGGTATGGATAATGGCTACCCCAAGGAGATATGGATCTATTAAGGGAAGAAATTTTTTCGTAAGACAAAGGTAAGATGTGTCCTAGGTGGTCAGGAAGCTCAGGCTAAAAATTTTGAACTTTGTTCTTAGTCAAGGGGAAGTACTGAGGTTTTGAGGAGGTGATGTCATCAGAGCTGCAGGTAAAGAACTGTGTAAATAGTGCATAAAACATGGTAGAAAAAGTTGTCTAAGTTAAGAAATTAGTTAAGGACACTGCAGTTCAGCTGGCGTGGCTCAATTGGTTGAGCATCGGCCAATGCACCAGGAAGTTGCCCGTTTGATTCCCGGTCAGAGCACGTGCCCAGGTTGCAGGCTCAATTCCTAGGCGGGGGTGTGGAGGAGGCAGCCAATTGATGCTTCTCCTTCATCAATGTTTCTATCTCCCTCTCCCTTCCTCTCTCTGAAATCAATAAAAACGTCAAAAAAAATTAAAAAAAAGACACTGCAATTGCAACCAGCTAAAAAGTACCAAAAGTCTGAACTGGCAGGGTGACAGCAAGAATGGAGAACCCTGGCCTGGTGGCTCAGTTGGACGTCGTCTCGTGCACTGAAAGGTTGCTGGTTCAATTCCTGGTCAGGGCACATGCCCTAGCTGTGGGCTCAATCCCTGGTAGGGGGCCTGCAGGAGGCAGCCAATCGATGTTTCACTTTCACATCAATATTTCTCTCTCTCTCCTTCTCCCTTCCTCTCTCTAAAAATCAATTTTAAAAATCTTAAAAAAAAAAATGGGGAGCAGGAGACAGATGCAGGAGGCAAGGGAGAGGCGTAACCAAGCAGAGGAGGTGACTGCCAGGGCAAGAGAAAAGAGTCAAAGACACCATGAAGGTACAGTTCAGGGTGCTGGGAGGGTGCCGCTGTGCCTTCAAAAGACACAGAAAGAAACTAAATTAGTCTGTGTGTGTGGAAGGAAACAGAGAGGGCTGGGGTCCCAACCCTCAACAGCTCCCCACCAATGGGCATGTGCAGTGGGAACACACAGCTGGCCCCCAAATCTGTGTGAAAGCCCCAGCCCTGGAGCCACGTGCAGGCCACGTGGTCAGCAGCCCTAAGCCTCTTACCCTCTCCCGGTCTCTCCATCTCCTCTGCCACGACTGCAGCCCCAGCCATCAGCACCCCTCCCAGCCCTGAGGACTGCACTGGCCCCTTCAGATCTCCTGTCTTTATTTTTGTCACTTCCAATTCTCCACACTTAAGCCCTTCGTCAGAGTCCCACTCTGCCTGCAGGGGTCTGCGTGGACAACCTGTCCCCCCCACGCCGTCCACCTCAGCTCGCACCTTTCTCTCCAACCTGGTGCTCCAGCCAAACTGGCTGCTGCCAGCCTCTGGCACAGCCGTACTCCCTCAGGAGCGGGGCATGCCTACCCCAATCTCAGACACAAAACTTCCTAGAGCCAGGCCTCACAGAGCCCTCTACATTTACCTCCCGTGTAACCCTCCTACAATGAGGGTGTGAGGACCAGCCTACCTCAGAACAGACAGCCATTCTGGAAAAACGGACTGACAGAGCAATGTAACACAAAGCAGATCTTCCTTGTACATGTCTCTGGCTCATTTCCCCAGCTGCACCACCGCCCCCCAGGAGCAGGACGCCACCCACCATGCCTTTGGGAGGAACATCACCCTCCCGCCCCCAGAAAGGAGCTCTCCTTTTTTTCTTTTTAATCCAAAGCACGCTCACAAAAACTAAAACACAGCATTTACACACCTAAAGCAAATGCTCCAGAACAAAATACAACAGCCACAGTATGAACTGAGATGTATAGGATTTAAAGGATCACAGGACACTGAACTCTGGAAAGAACACAAGGGGCAGGTGTGTGTCTGTAACAGACAGGAGCACAGGACCCCAGAGACCCCCTCAGCCCACGTGCCACGGCCCGTCCTCACCTGCCGGAACCGCTTCAGGTGGACGATGAGCACGTCCGGCAGCGTCCACAGGCTCAGCGTGATGCTCCCCTGCTGCAGCTGCTTGCAGTGCGGGCAGCGCCAGGCGTCGTCGGGGGCCAGCTGCAAGCGAGGGGCACGACGGTGAGCGCCTCAGGCGAAGCTTCCTGAGGACACGGCTGCACTCGCTTCTCGGCCAGCGCCCGCAACTCAGCACCTCTCTGGGAACTGCACACAATGGCACCCACACACCTGCTGGCTGGGTTCTCTCACAGGCCCGATGACTGTCTAGCGCAAGGGTGGGGAACCTTTCTCTGCCAAGGGCCATTTGGATATCTGTGACATCATTCCAGGGCCATACAAAACTATCAACTTAAACATTAGCCTGCTCTATTTGGTAAACTTGCTAAATTTGGTCAAACATTTAATTAACTCACCCCTCATGCCTTGGCAGGGCCAGACCAAATGATTTCGCAGGCCTTATCTGGCACGAGGGCTGGGCGTCTCCACCCCTGGTCTAGAGGATACGACCCCGAAGCATCTCAAACTCAGCGTATTCCCAAATTCATTACCTTTCCACCAACACAGTCCCCGTTCTCCTCCTTTCCTGCCTCAGCAATCACCAGGACACCCACCAAAGGCAGACCATGGGGATTATCCCAAACCCTCAAACCCTTCCCTCTTCCTCCTGCTCTATGTCCACCTAAAGTTATTCTCTCTCTGCCGCCTCTCATCCTGTCTCCTCCTCTCTACCCTGACTAATCCCTCCTGAATTTGAAGTCCTCACTCATTCTCTTACCTGGACATCATCAACCTCCTAATTGTTCTCTCTCCCCCAGCACTGAATTGCTCAACAATCCTCTCCTTCTGCCACCAACACAATCTTTGTAAATGTCATCTACAGCTATGTGTCATCTCTGCAGGCCAGGTTTCAGGATGGGGACATATTAGGTTCCAGGGGCTAATAGGTGAGAGATTCTTAAACCTGCTCTGGAAATCAGAACTGCATCAGATCTGGGACCACATTACAGTGAAGTAAGGAAGACCAGGGGAGTGGAAGGCCCTGCCCGAGACGGACGAGAAAGAAGCCAGGACAGATGGTGGGAATGCCTATTTTTAAGGGAAATATAAATGTCCAGAAACCACCAGAGCCTGAGGATGCAGAGGCAGAAACCAGGGAAATCGGAAGCCCTCCCTTTCACGAATACCACAAAGGAGTGGTGAGGACGGAGGGCTGTTAGTACCAACCCTGCGGAGAGATCAAGTGTAGACTGAGAACTTCAAGAGCAGAGTGAGGAGTGTGGCCAGACATGACGAGGGCTTGGGGAGGGAGAGAAAGGTGCTGGGACACTAATGTGCAGTTAGGCAGAAAGGCGGAGGAGGGCTGGCAGCCAGTGGGAAGGGAGCAGAGTGGAGGGAGTGCTTTCTCACAAGGAGAGCTTCATGTCTGCAGAAAGTCTGGGGGGGTGACTGGAAGGGCCTCCTCTGTCATCTGGTAAGTCCACATTTGTGACACAGGAACAGTCCGCACTCATGGCCACCCAGCCCAGTGCACGTGGTGAAGAAGCTTTAATTTCTGACACATTACAAACGATTCTTCTGTAGGAGACTAAGAATGCCCTGAAACATCTAACAGCGACGCCAGTCTCCAGAACACCTCTCTGATCCCTGCACTTATCGAGCTGTAAACTGCTACCGAGAGCTCCCGACTTGCACACCACACAGATCGCTGCTCTAGCTCCTGCAGGCACACAAGGGGGGCTCGCTCATCAGGAAGCTGTTCCAGTTTCAGACAATTCATTACCAAGTTCTTCCCTATGTTAAGACAGAATAATTCGCTGTAATTCCAATCTTTAAGTTCTGCTTTTTAAGGTAAAATTAAGTCCACTTTCTCCTCCACAGGATGGTCCTTGAAGTGCCTGAGTCCTTCAGGCTCCTTCTTCAAAATACATTCCGCCATGTTTTGGTTTCCAGGTATGCATTCCTATCCACGCACTCGGGTTGTGCCTGGTCTGCCAGGGTCTTATCAGGGAGCATGTAAGCTGATGGAAAGAGCGGTGCCATCACTGTGAGTTCTGGACAGTGTCTCACGCAATCCTTACGACACTGCTGACCAATGTTGAGCTTGCAGGCAACCACGTCCAAAGTTCCTGTCACACAGCCTCCTGCCGGCCAGGCCACACCCTCTCCTCTCCTACGCTGCACTGTAGTTTTTGGATCCAATGACTGAACTCCCCAAGTGACCCCCATATACTTATTCTTCCCAGTGCATGCTGACTGCGTGCTCTCCATGTGCCTGGCTCCACGGTGGACACTCAGGATTACTCGAAGACCAGCACAGTCTCTCCCTCTCCTCACCCTGTGCTCCAGTTACACTGGCTTCCTTTCTGTTTCTCAGCCATGCCAGTTCCTTCCTCACCCATGCCCTCCGCTTTCTTTACTTCCTTGTTTGATGGCAGAAACACTGTCTTTCTTGGTCCCAGCCAAATCCCCAGGACCTAGTGTAGTACCTAGCACACAGTATGTACTCAATAAACATTTACTGAATGAATGAATCCCTACCCTATATAATAAAAGGGTAATATGCAAATTGACCCTAACAGCAGAACGACTGGTCACTATGACGCGCACTGACCACCAGGGGGCAGATACTCAACACAGGAACTGCCCCATGGTGGTCAGTGCGCTCCCACAGGGGGAGCTTTGCTCAGCCACAAACCAGGCTCACGGCTGCGAGTGCAACGGTTGTGGTGGGAGCCTCTCCTGCCTCCTCGGCAGCACTAAGGATGTCCAACTACGGCTTAGGCCCAGGAGGAATGGGCCTAAGCCCGCAGGTGGACATCCCCCGAGGGCTCCTGGGCTGCCAGAGGGATCCCGGACTGTGAGAGGGCACAGGCCAGGCTGAGGGGACCCCCCGCCACCCCTCACCCCCCACCAAGTGCACGAATTTTCATGCACCGGGCCTCTAGTGAAAGTATATCCTGCTAGCTTGAACTCATCCTTCCCAATCAGTGAGACGTTCTGTAGAATACCAGTGTTGCCATCTAGTAGGTCTGCTCACCTCTAAGGTTTGTGCCATTCTCAAACATCTCCCAAATCAATTTAAAAAAAATCTAAATAGGATAAGGTGCTATATAGAGTAGGCAATCAACAAGATGCAAAACCAATGAACTATTTTATATAAGCTCCAAACTGAAAAAAAAAGATGTCTTATGAAACCTATTATTAAAGGAACTAGCTATGGACAACTTGAGGGTGAAAAGACTCAGTGAGAAGATGGAAAACATTTCAAATATTTAAAAGATAGACAAATATTTGGCCCCAGCAATTCTTAGAGAGAACACATGTGGTCACAGTGACCTGGGGATGTAGTCCAGGCTGACCTAAGTCTCCATCAGGGACCTCCAAAGAGGAAATGGTGAGTCTCCTACATAGGCAAACGCTTCACAACTAAAGGTGTACAAACAGTGGCTGAACGAGCACGTCTGTGAAATTCAGCAGAGCCCAACCATCAGAGAGAAAGGAGCATTCAAGTCCTCTTCCACCCGAAATTGCATAACTCCCTATGTATGTAGAGTGAACAGTAACAACCAGTAGTCAAAAGTCTGACCTGACCCTGGCCGGGTAGCTCAGTTGACTAGAGCGTCATCCCGATATACCAAGGTTGCAGGCTCCATCCCCAGTCAGGATACATACAAGAATCAATCAGTGAATACATGAAACAACAAATCCATGTCGTTCTCTCTCAAATCAATTTTTAAAAAATTTAAATAAAAGTTCTGATCCTAAACATCACCTCAAGATGAATTACAAGTGTTTTAATCAAGGATTCTCAAGGTGCACAAACCTGGAGAGGTTTAAAAACCACACAGACTTGAGCCCTGTCCACAGAGACTTGTCTATCTGTCATCCTTACATGCAAATATTTATTAAATCCCTACTATCTGCAAAGCACTGTGCTAAGTGGTCCAAAGACACTGCCCAATAGAACTTTGTCTATATGTACACTGTGTCTACTGAGCACTCAAAACTAAGAAACTGAACTTTCAATTTTATTTAATTATAATTAATTTAGATAGGTTCTAACCTAACAGTTGAGAATCACTGTTCCAGTTACTAAGGAAAATTATTTAAAACCCTACACTAAAATACCCATACATGTGCAGAACCTATGTAAATGCAAAACGACCAGGAAGTTTTCTGGGACATAATTTGTTTCTTCGTTGTCACCTTGCTATGCCCCCATCCCTACCACCGCACCACCCAAGAAATGCTCCCCTGCTCTTACCCGCTCCTCTTTGGTGTAGAGTTGGAAACACTGGGATAAAGTGCAAGTTTGAGGCTGATGATGACGCTCCCGTTGCAGACGGACACTCTCTGCATCAGGGATATACTCATCTTCAGTATTTACAAACAAGCTGTCATTGGGGGCAAAGCATTTATCAGGAATATCTTGCAAAACTGACACAAAATGCAATTACAGCTTCACAGCATAAATATAATTTCATAAGCAAGAAGGTCAATGTGTAAGAAAGCAATTTCCCATGTTCCAAAGTGTTCTTGAAAAATTCTCCATCTATAAAATTATTTTCAAGAAGAAATAACTTGCCCTAACCGGTTTGGCTCAATGGATAGAGCATCAGCCTGCGGACTGAAGGGTCTCGGGTTCGATTCCAGTCAAGGTCATGTACCTTGGTTGTGGGCACATCCCCAGTAGGGGGTGTGCAGGAGGCAGCTGATCGATGTTTCTCTCTCATCAATGTTTCTAACTCTCTATCCCTCTCCCTTCCTCCTTCCTCTCTGTAAAAAATCAATAAAATATATTAAAAAAAAAAAAAGAAGAAATAACTTGGAGCTAGTTTTTTTTGGAAGTGGCCATGAACTATGCTAATTAATCCATATACTCTTGTCCTTTGTAACTAAGGGCATGCATCTTGCCTAACTTACTAGAGTGAATGGGCATGTAATACAAATCAAAGTAATTGGACCTACAATGAACACACACACACACACACACACACACACGAATATATAGCTTCTATCTCATTAGCAGCCAACAACAGAATGTATAGGAGAGAAATAATAAACTACTTAAATAAAGGATTAGCAACACACCGGACACTAAACAGTTAAAGAGAAAATTGGGTTTCAGCTAATTTGAAAGATCAAAGGCATGCTTTGAAAATAATTAAAACAATGACTCTATAAATACTAAGTAAAAAATACTCACAAATCTTTTGTCTCCTTGTCCCATTCTACCACTAATTTCACATGAGCAGTGCCACCCGGTCCACACGATTTTAATGCCCTATAGATAAAGGGGATGGGGAGGGAGGGGAGTCACATGTTATTTTCTAAATAAATTATTTTACTTAAATACGGTCATCCTATCTGAAATCTGAAATCATGTGATTTCTGAACATCATCATCATTCCCCATCAGAAACAGTTTCTACTGAGACCATTATAACAACCTCATATATAATAAGTAGGTTATAGTGGGACTAAAAAAACCCTTAAATTAAAATTGTCCAGTATAGAAATAGACATTGGAAGAAATTTAGAATCCTGTTATAAGCTATCCATAGTCACTCTTAGATGTTCTTTAGGACTTTTCCAACTCTGTGTCCAATTTCTCACCAACCCATATAGAGACAACAGTCTCTCTGGGAACAAAGTCTGCTCCTGCACCCCTTCCCCATAAACCATGCCTGTCCTTGGATTCTGTCTGCGCCAACCTGAACTTCCACTAAGTCCTGCTAGTGCTCCACCTCCTTCCTTCATAAAGCCCCACTGAGTGCCTTGGCACATTTCATCTCCTGAGAAGCTCAGGATTCATAGTATTACTGCCCTAGCCGGTGTGGCTCAGTGGAGAGAGTGTCAGCCTGGGAACTGAAGGGTCCCAGGTTCGGTTCCGGCCAAGGGCACATGCCTGGGTTGTAGGCTTGATCCTAAGTAGGGGGCTTGCAGGAGGCAGCTACTCAATGATTCTCTCTCAGCACTGATGTTTGTATCTCTCTATCCCTCTCCCTTCCTCTCTGAAATCAATAAAAATACTTTTTTTAAAAAAAGAAGAAAAGGATGTACTTATAAAAAGGAATGTTCAGAGAACACAACGGGAGCCTTTACACACACACAAAAAATAGTCAATATTACTCATCTAATCGTCTTATGCTTTGAAATGTTTTGAAGCATTATCTAATCTATTAATTTTCATCTCTAAAACCAAACAGTGACTTGCCCCAGCTGGCATGGCTCGGTTGGATCGTTGTCCCATACACTGAAAGGATACAGGTTCGATTCCCAGTCAGGGCATGTCCAGGAGGCAACCAACTGATATTTCTTAGATCGATGTTCCTCTTTCTCTCTATCTCTCCCCCTCCTTCCCTCCCTTCCCCTCTCTATGGTCAATTAAAAAAAAAAATGTTAATAACAAAACCAAACAGTAACCTGCTTTCAAACAGAACCACATTGTTGACTTTTATGAAATACTGAAATGCAGGCACTACAACATTTGTTGAAAAAAATCATAAAACAGTAACATGAGTTTTATATTTATGTGTCATATACATATCATTATTTTAATACAGTGAGTGTTGTAATATAAGTGTGTAGAAAGTACAGGGGAAGTGCAGTGGAAGAACAATTTGACCACAGGGGAAGGATGGACAGTGTGAACAAAGGCTCAGAGGAAAGAAACTGTCTACACATGCAAAGGCACATGAAGCCGTGCTGTGTGTCCAGCAGCCTGTGGCACTCTGCCACTGCCGAAGGGTTAGGATGGGGAGAGAGCAGCAAGCAGGCCTGACAGAGGCAAGTGGTCAGCCTCAAACTGAAACACGCCCGGCACTGTGGAGCCTGGCTTTGTCTTTTACAACACAGGTCACCCTGCAAGGACGGCAGGGGAAAGGGGCATGATGAGAATTCTACTTCGGGAAATGTCAACCTTGGTGACTATGAACGTGTCATTTTTCTGTAGTCCTGGGATATATAGCAATTTGCTTTCCTTCACATGAGTACTCCAGGCTTTTCCAAAAAGGACCCTAAAGCATATCATATCCTAATATGAGTCAAAACTAAAATAAGAACTTAATTTCTAATGAGCCCAAAGAACACACTTGTGTGGAAATCATACCGGACATCACTAGAAATCACACATGCGCGCTTGTGAAACCCTAGAAGGTGATGTCTTTACCTTTCTACCGTTGGGTGGCACAGTGGCTGTTCTTCCTGGGGCAGCAAGTATGTTATTCCCACCACACTGACCACACGCAAACTGAAAGGACACACCTGCAGCAAACGGGGAAGGAGAATTAGGCTGGATTTCTCCTAAGGCAGCAGTTCTCAACCTGTGGGTCGCGACTCCTTTGGCGGCCGAACGACCCTTTCACAGGGGTCGCCTAAGACCATCCTGCATATCAGATATTTACATTACGATTCATAACAGTAGCAACATTACAGTTATGAAGCAGCAACGAAAATCGTTTTATGGTTGGGTCACAACATAAGGAACTGTATTTAAAGGGCCAGAAGGTTGAGAACCACTATCCTAAGGGCATCTGTTTGACAATGGTGTTTCCAAACCAGATTAGAGGGGGAGCAAACTTTTGTAAAATGCTCCTCTATAATGTTCTATTAGGTTGTTGAGCTGCTCTAATACACTTTAAATATCATTTACCCAAATACAATTTACACAGCAAATATGTTATGCAAAACAGGTAATATGTGGCAGCCGTGGAACATTAACTTAATGTCAGTTTCCCATGGATACCTCACCACTGAAATCCTAATTTTGAAAATGCACAGAGAGATGTTCTACAAAGTCTGTCCAAGCAGTTCATGTGCTAACCATGATTAGACAAACTTGGGAAGGGCAACTTGCAGTGGCAGCTCGCGTCACAGAACGAGGGCTAAGTCCTCGTCTCAGAGTCCTACTGGAGAGCTCTGCACCAGGGCTTACGAACTCTCCAGTTCATGTCCGTCTTCCTTAGAGCAGAGGCCTGAACTCCGAACTCCCCTGCAAAGACTGCTTCTTCGCTGGTACACACGCATGCTGGGCTGGAATACCAGAGCACGTACACACCTGAATGCAAACCGTGGGCCTCAGGAAATATTTCATCTTCTCCAAGATTTCCTTCTGCAGCAGGTCCCAGGCTACTGTCTTCTCCAAGTGCAGCACAAAAGGCTGTCCAAACCTAACACACACAACCATTTCAGTCACCTTAAATTATAACCATTCCTTTACGCTGTATTCCTTACTCATGATCTTTTTAAAATATGATTTTACTGACATTAGAGAAAGGGAGAGGGGCAGGGAGACAGAAACATCGATGAGAGAGAAACGTCAATCAACTGCCTCCTACATGCCCCCTACTGAAGATCAAGCCCACAACCGGGCCAAGTGTCCTGACCAGGAATCAAACCAGTGATTTCTTGGTTCATGGGTAAACACTCAACCATTGACCTTCTTAATGGAATCACTATATAATTGGTTTTAGGGCTGTTCTCAGTATAAAACAAACAGGAAATTTAATATAACTCTCAAAAGTGGATGAAAAAGTCAGAAGAGAAGCTGAGATTTCTAAATGGCATTTAACAGCTCATACATCAAAATGGCTTCTGGGGGAGCATGAGGCTAGGATATTAGGAAGCAAGACACAGGATCAGTGGAGACGATGAGGAAAGAAGGCCAGAGTGGACAACAGTCTGGAACAGCACAGGTCAAACAAGCAATGGGTTCCTGCCAGAGGAGCAGACAGGACTGCAGGCCTAGCAGGCAGGCAGCCAGGGAGAAGCCATGTGGCCCCTGCGGGGCCGGGCTGCCAGGTGTTGGAGAACAGGAGGCAGTGCCTGGCTCTAGGCTATGGCTGCAGGCTACATCACCGAGGGAGCTTTAAACAAGGGTGCCCGAGTGCAGCCCCCCGAGATCCTGCTGCAGTCACTCTGGTGAATGGCTCAAGCACTGAGACTTTTTAGACGTTCCTCAGGCGGTTCTAAAATGCAGCCACAGTGGAGCACCGCTGGGCTGCCCTCACTCCCCAAGCTCCAGCCGTTCACACCTACGTGCTGTGTGCCCTGAATGTGTCCAATTCATACACCCAGGTGTTTGTTCAGCCAATTCCCTCAGCCCGGAAAGCCTTCCCAGCCTGCTCCTGGGCTAGGCCCCCAGAGGGGTCCTTCTGCGGAAGCACCTGTCGGGTCGTTCCCTGTCTTGGCACCACAGCACTAACTTCCAGTGCCTCATCGTTCTTCTGCCTCCACCATGCACTGTGACTATCTGGCGGAAGGAAATGTGGTCTGCTATCTTAGTAGGCTATAACATGGTAGATGCTGAGTGAGTGAGTGAGTGCGTGAGGAGGAATCAGACAAACCCTGACTCAGGCCTAGCAGAGGTGCTAAGATCACCAAGAAACACAACTACTAATACAAAGTTTATTCACAGTGACACTCAACAGTGAACCAACCTATCTGCCTAAAAATGACTGTGACGTGAAGTTACAAGCACATGTAAACCATCTGGCCACATTTTCAATGACAATGTCTTCACTTCCAAGAGACTAACATCCCTTCCCTTCTGTCCCTTACACATGCCAAGCTCCTCTAGGCTCAGCGTCTTTGCACTCCAAGTCCCCTCTTCATGAGATCCTCTTCCCCAGAGGCTCACACAGCTCACCCTGTCTTCTCAGACTCAGCTGCTGCAAGAAAGCCCTCCCTGACCACCCTCCCTAACAGTCCCCAACCCCAGCACACTCTATCATCCCAGCCAGTTTTAAAAGTGGAAAAGACTGAGTTAAATGTGTTTACTTGCTTGTAGTCACTGTCCTAATCAGGATGTAAGCTCCTGGGAAGGCAGATCCTGTCTGTCTGTCTGCTACAATAGCCCCTGTGTTTACGGTGCCCCACACACTGGCAACACTCGAGTATTTGTTAATGAGCATCAAAAATAGACAAATCAACACATTTTGCATTTACATTAATTTAGCATCTTTAAAAAAGGAATTTATTCCAAAGCAACATTTAAAATGGCTAATATAAATGCTACCTTGACAAACAGTAGAAACAAGTGCCTTCCTCCCTAAGCAGGTCCACACTGTGCTTACCACTCAGGCGACATCACTACTGGGAGAAGGCTACTTTAAAAGACATCGAAACTCCCGCAGAGGGAAGTTCTTACAGAGGGAAGACCCAAGAGATTTCCAACTCCCAGCTTTCTGGCTTACGCTACTGAACGAAGAGTGGCGCGCACCACTCAGGGAATGGCGGAGGGCTAGGTGTAGGGAGAGCTCAGTCTGGAACCCAATATTGTGATGTACATACTATCCAAGTAGATTTGTTAAGAATTTAAAGGAGAAAAAGAAAGCTGTTAAGAAAGCAGCTGGATCTAGGTGTGTGGGTCTGGGGCCACTAGAGGAGCTTGTGCTGGAAATAGACATATGACAGGAGCCTTAAAAACTACCATGAGCTTGAAGAGCCGTTCTCACTCAGATCCTATCATCGTAACTTTATATTCTCCCTCCCAACCCCTCAAATCAGGTCAACTTACACACATATTCTTTCTAAACATCAGAATCAAAAATTAACTATGAAAAGTACGGATGCTTTTATCCCTACTTTTGAAAATAGGAGACTTTTCAAAGCCTCCGCAGTTGCGGGAAAAGAAGCTGTCTGCACCTCTTTCCCTGCTGCCCGGTGCAGGCGCGGTTGCACACCAGCAGGACGATCTTGTCACTCTCTGCTCTCGTCACGGGCAGCTCCACTTTCCCCTGCTTTGCTGCTGCATGTGCAGAAGACAGTCTATGATGGGCCAAGCCAACTGTTAAGTGGTTCAGATTGTTGTTTAAGTGAATTCCTGAAATAAAATAGAAAAAACTTACTTCATCTCTTTAAAATTCTTTTCCTTCATTCATTACAAAGTAATTTACTCAATAGAGAAATTAAGATGTTGTCATTATATAATTTAAGCTGCAGCTGAAAGAAGGAACAAATGATCTACTCTGAGATGACTCATCTAGCCACTCAGATAACTTCTTCCGCGTCATTTTTAACCTGGCCTTACCTGTCAGAAACTGAAAAATTAAACCTCTTATCTTCAGTGACCATTAGGTCCAGTGTGAGAAGGGCAAGTCTGCAGAGATGACTCACCACAACAACGTAAAGTGTGGCCATGCGTGCAACCAGCAACCAGATAAATTTTTCAAAAAGTAAAAAGTAAAGGCTAATACAGTGGAGTGATCTTCAATATTCCAATGATGTTTTTTCTCCCTGATGAAGGGCCAAACTTATAAGAAACTACACTTGCCCTGACTAGGTGGTTCAGCTGGCTGCAGTGTCGTCCCCTGCACCAGAAAGGCTGGGGTTTGATTCCGTCAGGGCACATACCTGGACTGGGGTTTGATCTCTGGTCAGGACATGTACGGGAGGCAACAATTGATGTTTCTCTTTCACATCAAGGTTTCTCTCTCTCTTTCCCTTCCTCTCTCCCTGAAATCAATAAAATAAAATTTTAAAACAAACAAAACAAAAATACCACGTCCTAGGGTAAGGATTAAAAAAAGAAATTCCATTTAACTAGATTCACAGCAAGTACAGAACTTTAATGCAATCACCTAAACCAGTGGTTCTCAACCTTGGCTGCACGTTAGAATCACCTGGGAATCTTTTTAAAATCCTGATTTCTGGGCCTCACCTTCCGGAAATTCTGTTTCTTTGTTATGGGGTGGGGCTACAACATTAGTAACAAAGAAACAGAATTTCTGGAGGATGAGGCCCAAGTCAGGATTTAAAAAAGATTCCCAGGTGACTAATGTGCAACCAAGGTTGAGAACTACTGGCCTAAACGGTATCAACTACATTAAAGTGAACGCAGATGTGTGTTTGGCAGGCCATACCAACTGCTGAAAGCAGAGTTGTCAATCAGAGGCACTAAGCAATTCAGCATGAAGCAACAGCCCTGCATTCAGTAGCAACTCAATAAATGCCTGATAAAGCCTAAGGAAATGATACTCCAACTGGATAATGAAGCCTACCACCACCTAAAATATAGTAACATCACCAGGAGGAGAATAAAATAAAAAGTATTCATAGCAGAAATCTGGCAATAACCTAAATATCCAGTAATATATGACTTGCTGAACCTACTAAGATACATCAACATTATAGCAATTTAAAATCATGAATACATAGTCCTGGCCAATTGGCTGAGTTGGTTGGCGGGTTGTCCTGTACACCAAAAGGTTGCAGGTTTGATTCCTGGTCCAGAACACATATCTGCGAGTTCAATCCCTGGTTGGGGGCATATACGGGAGGCAACCAATTGATGTTTCTCTCTTATATCAATTGTTTTTCTCTCTCTCTCTCTCTCTCTTTTCTCTAAAAATCAATAAAAACATATCGTCAGGTGAGGATTAAAAATGATGAATACATAGTTAATAGCAAAATAAATTCCAGATAAATTAACGTTTTAAAATAAAGAACACAAGAACTATCCTGGCCTGTGTTGCTCAGTGGTTGAGCATCGGCCCACAAGGTCACAGTTCGATTCCCAGACAGGGAACAGGCCTAGGTTTCCGACTCGATCCCTAGTAGGGGGCAAGCAGAAAGCAGCCAGTCAATGATTCTCTCTCAGCAGTGATGTTTCCATCTCTCTCTTTCCTTCTTCCTTCAATAAATGAAATAAATAAATTAAAAATTAAAAAACGACAACACAGCTCAGCCAGTGTGACTCAGTGGTTGAGCATCGACCCATGAGGTCACAGTTCGATTCCCAGTCAGGGCACATGCCCAGGTTGCGGGCCGGATCCCCAGTAGGAGGCGTGGAGGCAGCCAATCAATGATTCTCTCTCATCACTGATGTTTCTCTCTCTCTCTCTCCCTTCCTCTCTGAAATCAATAAAAACGTGTTTAAAGAAGAATAACACAGGAACTAGAAATAAGGAAACACTGAGTTTTCATCAAGCTATTAGAGGGGAAAAATACTTTTTAATGTTGAACACCATGAAGAAATCACAAAAGAACAGCAGATTTCAGTTCCTAACCATTCTAAACTTTAGTGTAAGGAAGTAAAAGTAATAGAAGTCTAAATCTGAGGCAACGAATGGCCTCATTTCCTAGGCTCTTGGCAGAAGTGAGGATGGGAAAACCTGTTCTGCTAAAAGTAATCAGGATTCCTAGTGCGATGAGGGGGATACCCATCAACTACAGAGGTCGGCTCTGCATTCAAAGTGCAGGCCCAGCACATTATTTTTTCAACCACGTGAGCAGCAGACACGTGAGCAGCACTCTCTTGTCCAAGGAGCATCAGCCCTGTAAGCAGCCTGCCTCAGGCCTAAGAGCAGCAGCCTCATGTGGCCTGACCCTGTCCAAGGAGCAGCAGCTGTGTGAAAGGCCGGCTTCCCTGTCCGAGGAGCAGCAATCATGCGAGCAGTCCGACCTGTCCAAGGAGCAGCAGCCACACGAGCAGTCTACCTACATCTGAGGAGCGGCAGCCCTCCGCAGCCCGCCCCCATCCGAGGAGGAGCAGCTGCGCACAGCCTGCACCCTGCACTAGTCCGAGGAGCAACAGCTGCTCAAGCATCTTGCTCTCATCCAAGCAGCAGCAGCTGCACGAGTAGCCTGCCCAACCCGAGGAACAGAAGCTGTGTGAGCAGCCCGCCCCCATCCGAGGAGCAGCAGCAGCCCACCCCGGTCCGGGAAGCAGCAGCCACATGAGCAGACCACCCACGTCCAAGGAGCGGCAGCTCTGCGCAGCATGCACCGGTCCAAGGAGCGGCAGCTCTGCGCAGCATGCACCGGTCCGAGGAGCGGCAGCCACAAGAGCCTGCACCTGTCTGACGAGCAGCAGCCAGGTGAGTGGCCCGTCCCCATCCGAGGAGGAGCAGCCACACGTGCAGCTCACTCCTGTCCTAAGAACAACAGCCGCACAAGCAGCCCACCCCTGAATGAGGAGCAGCAGACTTGCAATCAACCTGTCCAAGTCCAAGGAGCAGTAGCCCCACAAGCAGCCCACCACATCAGAGGAACAAGAGAAACGTGCAGCCAGCCCCCATCCAAGGATCAGCAGCCACGAGAGCAGTCCACCCCAGTTCAAGGAGTAGCAGCTGCATGTGTTGCCCGCCCCAATCCAAGGAACAGCAGCCTCATGATCACCACACCCTCTGTCTGAGAAACAGCAGCTGTGTGTGAAGCCTCCCGGAGCAGCCAGAGGAGCCACCACAGCTGTCAACAGCACCCACTAGAGGAGCTGCTGCCAACTGAGGAGCAGCTGCTACCACAACCGCCTGAGGAGCAACCACAGCCCGAGGAGCCACTGCCACCCAAGGAGCAGCCCCTGAAAGACTCAACAACTAGATATGTCGGTAAGATCAAACATGGGTAGACAAAGAAACCCCCAAAGGAAAGAAAAAGAGGACTCACCAGAAAAGCAGCTAAGAGAAACAGAAGCTTGCAACATGACGGAAAAATAATTCAGATTAAGGGTCCTTGAATGCATAACCCAGTTGGTGGAAAAAATCAACAACTTATGCAAGAATCAAGAAGAAATGGATGAAAAAATCAACAACTTATGCAAGAATCAAGAAGAAATGGATGAAAAAATCAACAAATTATGTAAGAATCAAAAAGGAATGGTTGAAAAAAATCAATAAATTATGTAAGAACCAAAAAGAAATAAAGAGTGATATAGCTGCAATAAAAAACACCATTGAAAGTTTCAACAGTAGACTAAGAGAAGCGGAGGACCAAATTAGCGAATTAGAAGACAGGGAAGTAAAACACACCCAAACTGAAATGCAATTGGAGAAAAAAATTAAAAGACAGGAGGAGAGCCTAAGGGAGCTATGGGACAACATGAAACGAAACAACATACATATAATAGGGGTGCCAGAACAACAGAAAGAGGAACAAGGGTTAGAAAACCAATTTGAAGAAATAATATTAGAAAACTTCCCTGAGGTGGGGAAGAAAAAAGTCACACAAGCACAGAGAGTCCCAAACAAGGTGAATCCGAAAAGACCCACACCAAGACACATCATAATTACCATGGCAAATGTTCAGGACAAAGAGAGAATCTTAAAGGCGGCAAGAGAGAGACAGAAAGTTACATACAAGGGATCTCCCATTAGATTATCAAATGATTTCTAACAGAAACACATCAGGCCAGAAAAGAATGGACGGAAATTTACAAAGTGATGCAAAGCAAAGGACTGAATCCAAGAATACTCTATCCAGCAAGGCTTTCGTTCAAAATTGAAGGGGAAATAAGAAGCTTCACAGACAAAAAAAGGCTAAGGGAGTTTATCACCACCGAGCCAGCAATGCAAGAAATGCTAAAGGAACTGGTGTAAAAAGAAGAAATAAAAAGCTCAGAAAGAAAAGAGCCACAAAAAATAGAAATGGCTACAAACAAGTACCTTTCAATAATAACTTTAAATGTAAATGGACTAAATGCTCCAATCAAAAGACATCGAGTGGCTGAATGGATAAAAAAACATGACCCATACATTTGCTGTCTACAAGAGACCCACCTCAGAAGAAGGGACTCACACAGACTGAAAGTGAAGGGATGGAAAAATATCTTTCAGGCAAATGGAAATGTAAAAAAAAGCTGGGGCAGCAATACTTATATCGGACAAAATAGACCTCAAAGTGAAGGCCATAACAAGAGATAAGGGAGGCCACTTCATAATACTAAAGGGATCAATACAACAAGAGGATATAACCCTGATAAATATATATGCACCCAATGCAGGAGCACCCAAATACATAAAAAAACTCCTGGAAGATATCAAGGGAGAGATCGACAACAATACAATCATAGTAGGGGACTTTAATACACCACTGACATCACCGGAT